CAACCCCAAACCCACCCCGAACCCCCCCAAACCAACCTAAACCACCCCAAATCCACCCAAACCCACCTCGAACCCCCCCAAACCCACCCCGAACCCAGCCAAGCCCATCCCGGCCCGGTACCTGCCGCCCGCCCGCTCCATGCCGGCCCCGCCCGTTCCCCCCCGGCCCCGGGAAGTCGATCCCGGTGACGCCGCTTCCCTTCCAGGTCACGGCGGGGCCGGGCCTGCCTCCCGTGGCCGCACCGCCCCGGGGGAGCGGGGAAACAGCCCCGGGGGAACGGGGAAACAGCCCCGGGGGAACGGGGAAACACGTCAGGAGCGGCTGAAAGCGCCGGGGTGGAGGATGCGCCTTGCCAGATGTTTTCCTGAAGGTGCTGGAGGATAAATCGGGAAGGATCCGGAGGCAGCTCAGCAAGGGAGGCAGCTGGAAATCGGCGTCTAAACCCCGAATCCTGGAGTGGTTTGGGTTGGGAGGGGCTTTGAAGGTCTCCCAGTGCCACCCCTGCCGTGGTGGGGACACCTGAGTGTCCTTGAGTGTCGCCTCCACGCTGGCCTGGGGCAATGGCAGGGATGGCCAGGAGTGCGGGTCCCAGCAGGAGCCCAGCCCCGAGCAGGGATTGTCCCCAGGGCCGGGCAGGGATTGTCCCCAGGGCCGGGGGAGAGCTGTCCCCAACCCTGAGAAGGGATTGTCCCCAGGCCGGGCAGGGATTGTCCCCAGGGCCGGGGCAGCGCTGTCCCCAACCCCGGGCAGGGATTGTCCCCAACCCAGGGCAGGGATTGTCCCCAACCCTAAGCAGGGATTGTCCCCAACCCCGAGCAGGGATTGTCCCCAGGGCCGGGCAGGGACTGTCCCCAACCCCGAGAAGGGACTGTCCCCAGCCCTAAGCAGAGACTGTCCCCAGGGCCGGGGCAGGGACTGTCCCCAACCCTAAGCAGGGATTGTCCCCAGGGCCGGGCAGGAATTGTCCCCAGGGCTGGGGGAATGCTGTCCCCAACCCTGAGAAGGGATTGTCCCCAGCCTTAGGAAAGACTGTCCCCAAGCCCGGGCCGGGATTGTCCCCAGGGCCGGGGCAGTGCTGTCCCCAACCCTAAGCAGGGATTTTCCCCAGCCCTAAGCAGAAACTGTCCCCAACCCCGGGCCGGGATTGTCCCCAGGGCCGAGGGACTGCTGCCCCCAGCCCCGGGCAGGGATTGTCCCCAAGGCCGGGGCAGCGCTGTCCCCAATCCTAAGCACTGATTGTCCCCAGGGCCGGGCAGGGACTGTCCCCAACCCCGAGAAGGGACTGTCCCCAGCCCTAAGCAGAGACTGTCCCCAGGGCCGGGGCAGGGACTGTCCCCAACCCTAAGCAGGGATTGTCCCCAGGGCCGGGCAGGAATTGTCCCCAGGGCTGGGGGAATGCTGTCCCCAACCCTGAGAAGGGATTGTCCCCAGCCTTAGGAAAGACTGTCCCCAAGCCCGGGCCGGGATTGTCCCCAGGGCCGGGGCAGTGCTGTCCCCAACCCCGAGCAGGGATTGTCCCCAGGGCCGGGGCAGTGCTGTCCCCAACCCTAAGCAGGGATTTTCCCCAGCCCTAAGCAGAAACTGTCCCCAACCCCGGGCCGGGATTGTCCCCAGGGCCGAGGGACTGCTGCCCCCAGCCCCGGGCAGGGATTGTCCCCAAGGCCGGGGCAGCGCTGTCCCCAATCCTAAGCACTGATTGTCCCCAACCCCGGGCCGGGATTGTCCCTCCCAGGCAGCAGCGGGGCTCGCTCGTGGCCGGCACTGCCACCTGCTGCCATCCTCTGTCACCTGCCGGGACAGCTTTTCAGGCGGTTCGTCCCCGGGATTCTCATCTCACCGACTACCCTGAAAATACAGTACGATTTTCCCAATTTTCCTGAAAATGGGGCAAAGGTTGGGAAAAGCCTTCATAGGACCGGAATCCAGCACGAGCCCCTGTCCCCAAGTGCCACATCCAGGGAGCAGAGTGGCACCTCTTGCACAGCTCTGAGTGACCAGAGCTGAACTCCGGGCCTTGAGAAGGACTCAGGGCACGTCAGCACAGCTTCAAAAGCATCCATTCACCACATTCAAACACGACAAACTCCAGGAAATTATGGTTTTTATTTCCATTTTCCAAGTTTCAGTCAAAATATCGGCTTCAAAAATAAATGAAGTAAGGTCACAAATTCGTGGGATAACAAAACAGCAACCCTAAGCTACAGCTCCACAGGGGAAACTCCAGGATACATCTTGACCCATTAAATATTGCCCCTCTTCTCCAACAGCAGCTGAAAGGAGTAAGAAACTTCACCTTCAAGAGACTGCTGGGAGTACAGGAACAGACTAGAAAAACTCAGCTTTCCTATTTCCAACGATAACCAGGATAGCAAAACGCAGAGTCGAAAAATATTTACAAAAGTTGTATCTACAAGACACAGCTACAGTGCTCCCAGGATGCTCCCAGGCTCTGGAATTGCTGCCTCCAGCCTGGAGCAGATCTCCCCCAGTCCTGCTGCAGTTAAGAGCCATCCTGCTGGTCCTCGATCTTGGGGGCCAGGTAGTACTTCAGGTGTCCCATGTCAGCGATCTTGTACTCCACAACTGGGGAGAGAAGGGAAAAAGGGTGTTCAGGGGGCTCTGCATCAAATCCAGCCTCAAGTTCCAGCTGTGCTGGGGCAGGGGCGTGGCACTCACCCAGAGGAACATCTGCAGACATGCTGAGTGTCACCGTGGGGGACAGCGGGGTGGCTTTGGTGAAGAAGTTCAGGTACCTCAGGGCGAAGGTCAGCTGCACCGGCTCGTTCATCTCGATTGTAACCTGGGCAAGCAGGAGAGGATTCCAGAGCCCTGGCACACACAGGCCACGGCCAGCAGGGCTGCTCCTGCCCACCCAGCACTGCTGCAGCTCCCAGGGCAGCAGCGGGGGGACTCAGGGGCTCCAGAGGGGGACACAGCCCTGTCCCTGCTCACTGCAGGGCTGGCACTCAGTGCCCTTCCAGCCCAAACCCTCCCCCAGTTCCAGGACCCCCCCAGGGCAGAGAACTGGCTTTGCAGGTGAGGCCTGCATCAGGGGACCCAGAGGGACACACGTCCCTGACACTTTCCCTGCAGGGCTGGGACTCAGCACCTTCCAGCCCAAACCCTTCCCCAGTTCCAGGACCCCCCCAGGGCAGAGAACTGGCTTTGCAGGTGAGCCCTGCATTAGGGGCTCCAGAGGGACACACGGCCGGCCCTGTCACTGCGGGGCTGGCACTCAGCACCTTCCAGCCCAAACCCTTCTCCAATTCCAGGATTCCCCCAGGGCAGAGAACTGGCTTTGCAGGTGAGCCCAGCATCAGGGGACCCAGAAGGGGACACGGCCCTGTCACTGTCACTGCAGGGCTGGCACTCAGCACCTTCCAGCCCAAACCCTTCCCCAATTCTGGGACCCCCCCCAGGGCAGAGAACTGGCTTTGCAGGTGAGCCCTGCATCAGGGGACCCAGAAGGGGACACAGCCCTGTCACTGTCACTGCAGGGCTGGCACTCAGCACCTTCCAGCCCAAACCCTTCTCCAATTCCAGGATTCCCCCAGGGCAGAGAACTGGCTTTGCAGTCCCTGCTCACTGCAGGGCTGGCACTCAGCACCTTCCAGCCCAAACCCTTCCCCAATTCCAGGATCCCCCCCAGGCAGAGAACTGGCTTTGCAGGTGAGCCCAGCATCAGGGGCTCCAGAGGGGCTGGATTCAGGGGACCCAGAGGGACACACGGCCCTGTCCCTGCTCACTGAGGGGCTGGCACTCAGCACCTTCCAGCCCAAACCCTCCCCCAATTCCAGGATCCCCCAGGGCAGAGAACTGGCTTTGCAGGTGAGCCCTGCATCAGGGGCTCCAGAGGGACACACGGCCCTGTCACTGTCACTGCAGGACTGGCACTTAGCACCTTCCAGCCCAAACCCTTCCCCAATTCCAGGATCCCCCAGGGCACAGCCGGCTCTGCAGCATCCCCCACTCACAGCCTCCTCCTCCTTGTCCACGTTGCTGGTCTGGGACAGTTTGATGTTGCCGTTGCCCAGCTCGCCGTTGGCAGAGAACTTGACGCCGTCCTTGGCGCAGGAGATGACCACGGCGTCGCCGATGTGGCTCAGGTCCCGGCAGATGCGCGCGAACTCGGCCGAGGGCATCTTCACCACGCAGCTGTACTCCTGCTCCTGGGGGACAGGGACACTGCCAGGGGCACTGCCAGGGCTGGGCACCCACAGGGACAGCCAGCCAGGGCTGGCACTGCCAGGGGCACCCACAGGGACACTGCCAGGGCTGGCACTGCCAGGGCTGGGCACTGGCAGGGACAGGCACAGGGACACTGCCAGGGCTGGCACTGCCAGGGACAGCCTGCCAGGGGCACTGCCAGGGCTGGGCACTGCCAGGGAACCCACAGGGACACTGCCAGGGCTGGGCACCCACAGGGACAGGCACAGGGACAGCCTGCCAGGGGCACTGCCAGGGACAGCCTGCCAGGGGCACTGCCAGGGCTGGGCACTGCCAGGGACACCCACAGGGACAGCCCCAGGGACAAACTGCCAGGGCTGGCACTGCCAGGGACAGGCACAGGGACAGCCTGCCAGGGCTGGGCACTGCCAGGGACAGGCACAGGGACAGGCACAGGGATAGCCTGCCAGGGCTGGCACTGCTAGGGCTGGGCACTGCCAGGGACAGGCACAGGGACAGCCCCAGGGACAGCCTGCCAGGGCTGGACACTGCCAGGGGCACTGCCAGGGACACCCACGGAGACAGCCTGCCAGGGCTGGCACTGCCAGGGACGCCCACAGGGACAGCCTGCCAGCCCCAGGGCACTCACAGTGACACTGTGCCAGGGCTGGGGGATCTGCAGTGATACCCACAGGGACAGCCTGCCAGGGTTGGGGCACCCAGGGTGACACCCTGCTAGGGCTGTGTCACTCCTAGTGTCACTGTGCCACCCCATGGGCACTCCAGGGACACCCACAGTGCCACCCTGCCAGCCCTGGGCACTCCCAGTGTCACTGTGCCACCCCTTGGGCACTGCCAGGGACACCCACAGTGCCACCCTGCCAGCCCTGGGCACTCCCAGTGACACCCACAGTGCCACCCTGCCAGCCCTGGGCATTCCCAGTGTCACTGTGCCACCCCTTGGGCACTCCCAGGGACACCCACAGTGCCACCAGTCACCCGGGCTGTTACTTACTGGGATTCCCAGCTGCTCCACGTCGAGATCCATCAGCTTCATCTCGTAATCAGAAACCTTCTCCTGGTCTGGGGAGGCAAAGCTCAGTGACACCAAATGGCAGAGTGACAGATGTCAGCTGCACTGCTGGCACTCCCCACTCCCCCCAGGCAGAACCACCTCAATCCTGGCAGGAAGATTTCCCTCTGTTCCCTTAGGGCTGGGACTCTGGGAATGCCCTGGCAGCCTTTGACAGGCTCTAAGGATAAAACCAAAACCATCTGTGTGCAGCCTGAAAGAGCCCTCCCCTCACAAAGAAAATATTTATCAACCTGATCAAGTTTCAACCTCCAGACTGTTCCAAGAATCAGGTGTCCCTCCCACTCCTGCAGGACCCACTGCCACTTCCCTCCCTCCTGCATCCCCGTGGTTTCTGAAGCTGCCTGAACACATCCCAGCGACAAAGCACTTCCAAAACCCAACTCACTGGGTGCCTCGAACACCAGGGCCAAGGTGTCTGCGTTGTCCTCGGCCCGCAGGGTGATGATGTCCTCGTTCCCTGCACATTTCAGGATCTTGGACATGCTGCAGGGGAGAAAGGCAGGTGACTCACGGGGCTGGGAGCTGGCAGAGCAGGAGGGGATGTGACACTACAGTGATCAGGTCTCCTTCTAACACTCTTGGAAAAGCGTATGAGCAGACTCCCCAGCCTCTCTGGCTCTCTTGCAGTGCTTGGTCACCCACAAAGTTCTTCCACACACACGGGGTGGAACCTCCCGTGCCTCAGCTCCTGCCTGCTCCTCCTGTCCCATGGCTGGGCAGATCCTGGACCCATCCGGACCCTTCCCTGGATATTTACACACAGGGACGATTTCCCTCTCTCAGCAGTCTCCTCAGCCTCTCCTCATAACGGACATGCTCCAGGCCCCTCATCTTTGTCCCTCTCCGCTGCGGGAGCTGTGTCTCTCCTCTGCTGCAGAACCCAGAGCAGGGCACAGCACTCCAGAAGCGCCTCACAGCGGGGCGGGAAGGCCCACCACCCGGACCCGCTGGCCGGGCCCATCCTGCCGCTGCCCAGGACCCTGTGGCTCCTTTCCCGAAAGCGGCAGGCCTTTAAAGCTGTCACCGTTCCCCCTCAGGGGCCATGGCGGCCCCCCCCCCCCCCCCCAGCGCTGCCTTTTCCCGCCACTTGGCGCCGGCAGTGACGTCACGGCCTCGACGCGCGCCGCGAAAAACGGCGCGAGAGCCGTGAGGGGAATGGGGGGGTGGGGAGGGAAGAGAAGGGCTGAGGGGGCTCCGAGCGCCCCCGGGACCCCCCACACCCCCGGAGCACCCCCAGATCTCCCCTCACAGCCCCTTCCCCGGCAGCGCCCGCTGCCCTGAGCGCCACAGCCCCCCGGGCCTGCTCGGCCGCCCCACGGCAGCGCCCCACGAGAGCCCGCCGCGGGCTGACCTGGACAGGTTGACGCCCATGGCGATGTTGCGGTCGCAGCGGTAGGTGTCGAAGCCCTCCGATCGCAGCGTGAGCTGCACCAGCGAGACGTGCGAGGAGTCCATGCTCTGCAGGCTGATGCCGCCCGAGCCCAGGTCCCAGCAGGCCTCGGTGATGAGGTCCTTGAGAGCCTCCAGCACTCGCTTGAGCACCGAGCCCTGCACCAGCCGCGCCTCGAACATCTTGGCAGCACCAGCGGGAGCGGCACACACGGAACCCAAGGCAGAACAACTGAACTACAGCGAGGCGGCCCGCCACGACCTTTATGCACTCTGTCGCCCCGCCCACCGCCTCGCAGCAGCCAATCAGTAGCGCCGCTCTCCTTCAGCCCAACCCCTTCCGAGCTCACATGCCGATCCCCGCCGCTCTCCGGCCAATCCCAGCGCTGCTCTTCCTCTTAACCCCGCCCCTCCGTGCGGCGGGATCCAATCACCGCGCGGATCGCACAGGCCCCCGCGTCCCGCCTCGCTGCGCAGCGATGGCGGCAGGGCCCGGTCCCTGCAGCGCCGCCGGTGCCACACACGGGGCCTGGCCGTACGGAAGGCTCGGTGGCGCGCCTCTCCTCAGGCCCCGTGTGCTGACCGAAAACCGGCCATAACACAAACCCGCTTGTCCCTAAAGACAAACCCCTCACGCTTCTCCCAGCGCCCGGGGCCCTTCCCGCGCGCTCTCTCGCGTCACACATCATGGCGCCCCGCACCATCCGGGTACACCTGGGCGCCGCCATGCCTCTCCCTAAGCCCCGCCCCTCGCCCATCCCACGCCTCCCATTGGCCAACGGCGCAGCGTGGCCACCCCCCTCTCTCTCCAGCCCCGCCCCCTCCGCACTATTGGCCGGCGGCCGTTCTGCCGGTGCGGTGTCGCCCCCTGGCGGCGGCGGCGCGGCGGGCGCGGGTCCGGCATGAGCGAGGCGCGGCTGAGGGCCGGGCGCGGCCCCGGCGGGGCCCGGGACCCCCAGGACAAGGTAAGGAACGGCCCCGGGGGGCGTCAGGGGGAGAGGGACACCGGGGGCGTCAGGGGGCGGGGAGAACCGGGCGGCGCCGGGCCTGCGCGCCGCGGGGTCCCGGCGGCCCGCGGTGAGGCCGCTGTGAGGGCCCGGGGCTGCCCCGCGCTCGGGGAGCTCGGCCCGGGCTCGGTTTATTCGCCCTGGGGGAGCGGATGCCGCCCCCGGGGGTGTTTGGAGGAGCGGCCCCGGGGCGAGGAGGGCTGGGCGTGGAGTGCGTGTGGGGATGGCTGCGGGGGACAGCGCGGTGCCCGCCCGGCCGGGCCGGGGCCTCCAGAGCGGCCCTCAGGGACCCCAAACCATCCCCAGGGGGTGACGGGGGGGTGACAGGGGGGTTCAGACCTACCCTGGGACCCCCTAAACCATCCCCAGGGAGTGATGGGAGGGTTACAGACCTGCCTTGGGATCCCCTAAACCATCCCCAGGGGGTGATGGGGAGGTTACAGACCTGCCTTGGGACCCCCAAACCATCCCCAGGGGGTGATAGGGGGGTGACAGGGGGGTTCAGACCTACCCTGGGACCCCCTAAACCATCCCCAGGGAGTGATGGGGGGGTTACAGACCTGCCTTGGGACCCCCAAACCATCCCCAGGGGGTGATGGGGGGGTCCAAACCTGCCTTGGGACCCCCAAACCATCCCCAGGGGGTGACAGGGGGGTGACAGGGGGGTTCAGACCTACCCTGGGACCCCCTAAACCATCCCCAGGGAGTGATGGGGGGGTTACAGACCTGCCTTGGGACCCCCAAACCATCCCCAGGGGGTGATGGGGGGGTCCAAACCTGCCTTGGGACCCCAAAACCATCCCCAGGGGGTGATGGGGGGGTCCAAACCTGCCTTGGGACCCCAAAACCATCCCCAGGGGGTGATGGGGGGGTCCAAACCTGCCTTGGGACCCCAAAACCATCCCCAGGGGGTGATGGGGAGGTTACAGACCTGCCTTGGGACCCCCAAACCATCCCCAGGGGGTGATGGGGAGGTTACAGACCTGCCTTGGGACCCCCAAACCATCCCCAGGGGGTGATAGGGGGGTGACAGGGGGGTTCAGACCTACCCTGGGACCCCCTAAACCATCCCCAGGGAATGATGGGGGGGTTACAGACCTGACTTGGGACCCCCTAAACCATCCCCAGGGAATGATGGGGGGGTTACAGACCTGACTTGGGACCCCCTAAACCATCCCCAGGGAATGATGGGGGGGTTACAGACCTGACTTGGGACCCCCTAAACCACCGCCGGGGAGTGATGGGGGGGTTACAGACCTGCCTTGGGACCCCCAAACCATCCCCAGGGGGTGATGGGGGGGTCCAAACCTGCCTTGGGACCCCCAAACCATCCCCAGGGGGTGATGGGGGGGTCCAAACCTGCCTTGGGACCCCAAAACCATCCCCAGGGGGTGATGGGGGGGTCCAAACCTGCCTTGGGACCCCTAAACCATCCCCAGGGAGTGACAGGGGGGTGACAGGGGGGTCCAAACCTGCCTTGGGACCCCTAAACCATCCCCAGGGGGTGATGGGGGCGTTACAGACCTGCCTTGGGACCCCCAAACCATCCCCAGGGAGTGACAGGGGGGTTCAGACCTACCCTGGGACCCCCAAACCATTCCCAGGGAGTGATGGGGAGGTCCAAACCTGCCTTTAGGAAGGATTTGGGACCCCCTAAATCATCCCTAAGGAATAGCAGGGAAGTTCTAAACCTGCCTTTAGGGAAGCGTTTGGGAAGTCCTAAATCATCCCTAGGGAATGACAGGGGGGTTCCAAACCTTAGGAAACCTTAGGGAAGGGTTTGGCACCTCCTAAATCATCCCTAAGGAATTATTGGGGGGGGGGGGTCCAAACCTTCCCTTAGGGATGGGTTTGGGACCTCCTAAATCATCCCTAGGGCAGGAGCTGGGGGTTCCAAACCCCTCAGGCTGCCTTAGGGAAGGGTTTGGTGCCTCCCAAGCCATCCCCAGGGAATTGCCTGGTTTAGTGAGGGTTGGCATTGCCTTTCTGCCAAGGGAAAAGTTTCGTTTTCCTGTCAGGAGAGGCACGGGGAGCAAACCTGGCTCGTTTCCCTGTGCCATCCCTCTGCTCCAGCCCCGAGCCTGGATGCTCAGGGCTGCTCTGTGAGTCATCTGTCACCTTTGTCACCTCTGCTGCTGCACCTCCCCAAAGAGGAGGGCACCAGGAGGAATAAACAGTCAGGGGAACTTGGTAAATAACATTTGCAGGCTGACAGGAAGCAGAAGCTGCAGGGAGGAGCAGTGCTGGGACTGGCCCATCAGCCCCCCAGCAGCAGCTAATTGATGTTTTCTCCATTAGTGCACGGAGGCTGCAGCTCTGAGCAGCACAAAATCACCAGGCAGAGCTCTTCTGCAATTTAAATGCGATTTTAACGTGGTTTTAGGGCGATGGTAATGCCAGTTCAACACCTGCTGGAGGCTGTGTGGGCAGGTTTGAGGGAACTTCGTGGTGCTGGTGTGCTCAGGGACAGAAGTGCTGGGAATTGGTCACCCTGGGGTGGCTCTGGAGCTCTCTGCACTGGGGAAGGAGCTCTGAGATGGCTCCAGCTGTGCAGAGGGTGAGACCTTGAGGTGTGTTCATCTCAGCTGGAATTTGCTGGGCAGCAGAAAACCTTCAGGGAGGTTTATATTCCTTTTTTTTTTTTTTTTTTGTGGTGGGAGTTGGAGGACTGGCAGGGCTGCTGCGCAGCAAGCGGGCTGGGCCAAGCTGGGATTGGCTAAAGAAGGTCAGAGGACAATCCTGTGTCCCTAAAGATGGTCATAGGACAAGTCTGTGACCCTAAAGGAGGTCACAGTGCAATCCTGTGTCCCTGAAGGAGGTCAGGGGACAATCCTGTCACCTCCACACCCTGTTTTCACGTGCAGTCAGCCTTCTGAAGGACTCCTCTGGTATTTCCTTCGAGCTGCTGACCTGGAGTGTCCTTACTAGAGAGAGGGAACCTTCCTGTTGTGCAGCTCCTCGTAAAACAGCTCAAAATGAATCGCAGGAGGAGGGAAAAAAAAGCAGAGAAATGTTCCCAGGCAGCCAGCAACAGCTCCCCCGAGGTGCTGAATGTGATGTTTCATCACAGAAGCAGCAGAGAATTTCCCAAAATTGCCAGATGCAGCAGAGAATTTCCCAAAATTGCCAAGTGCAGCTGCAGGGAGGTTACCTGGTGTGCTCTTTCTCTGCTGCAGGGTTGCATTTCCTGCCCTGGGGTGCTGCACTTGTGGTTTTGGTGCTGGCTGTGGTGTTTTCAGAGACCCCCAACATCCATCACATGTGGTGAATCTGACTCCATGTTCTCAGAAGGCTAATTAATTATTTTAAGGTACTATATTATATAAAGAATATTATACTAAAGAATACAGGAAGCACACAGACAGAAGGCTAAAAAAAAATAAAATAATGAAAAACTCATGAGCCTTTGCAGAGCCTCAACACAGCCTGACTGTGGTTGGTCATCAAGTCAAAACAATTCAGGTGAAACCAACCAAACCATCTCCACATTCCAAAACACAGGAGAAACAAATGAGATCAAATCATTTCCCTTTTTTTTCCCCTGAGGCTTCTCAGCTTCCCAGGAGAGAAATCCTGGTGATTTTCCAGCAGATGTGACGGAGCCAGGCTGGCAGCACGGGAGCTCAGGTGTGTGGGGAGGGGACGCTGCCGTGGCTGCTGTGTCACCCTCGGAGCCCTGCCGGCGTGTTTTCTGTGACAGGAACCCTGGAAGCTTCTGGAAAGAGCCCTGTGCTGGCAGAAGAGGCTCCCAGCAGGATGTAAACACCAGGATTTTGGGCTCCTTGCCACTTTTCTGTTTGGGCTGAGCTCAGGGTTGGTTTCGCTTTGTGCTGTTCTGCCCCGGGAGATGCTGGGTTTAAAGTTGGTTTTTGTTGAAACTGCTGTGTCTGAGGGAATGAGGCAACATCTGTTTGCTCTGCTCAGGGAACTCCTGATTTCTGTGTGGAAATCCAGGGGGTTTTGCTGGATTTTCCTGAAAAACCCAGCATTTATCTTCTAGCATTTTCTGTCGCAGCTTTTTGTTAAAAGCGGGCAGGAAATGTAAATAAAACAGTGCCTGGCTGCAAGGAGAGCTCCTAAATAATGGCATTTCTGGGGCTAATTTCATCTGCCAGCCCTGGGTGCTTAACTGGGTGTCTGTGCTGGGCAGAGGATTTTTGGCAGGGAGAGAGCAGGCTCGTTTCTATGGCAACTGGGATCGTGGCGTGGATGTTTGTGTGGAAAAAAAAACCATCTGAGGGTGAGCAGAAATGTCTCCCCACCCTCCTGGAGTGGAGTTGTTTAAAGGGAGCTCAAACAAACTCAATTTCCTGTGTATCTTTCCTTCAGGGGGGTGAAATGTCTGTTGAC